GATGTGGTTAAACTCACAGATGTCAGGGCTTGGTCCACTTCCCTGAGTCTCTTGGCTTCCTTTCGTGGTGCTAGATGACCACCTCCACTCCAAATATCACGGTACTATTGTAGTAACAGAGAAAGGAATCTCTCCTGATGGCTCCCAGCCTCATGCGGCCCACACCAGAGTTCTCCAGAATCCCACTGGTCAGGGTTGGGTCAGATTTCCACATGCTAGCTTCAGAGCCTAGGAGAGCTGGTATTGGCATTTTCAGGCTTTTTCACAGGAAGCCGGCTCAGCTAGAAGGGAGAAAGGCATTAGGTAGGTAACCAACGATGTCTGTCACAATGATGAATTCCATTTTCTCTCCCTACACAGTTGATAAAGGCTCACTTAGCAGCCTTACAGAGCTTGAATTAGATAGGCTAAATCATAACTGTAATAAATTAGTATTTACTAGAAGCTGGTTAGTGTCTCAGTGGGCTTTTCCCTTCTGCTCTGTGACTGAGAGCTGATCCCACTGCTTCATAACAAATGAATGATTTGATTATTTTCCTCTTCTACAATTTGAATGAAACTCTGTGGCTGTCGTGAAGACATGTATCCATCCTGTTACACCTTTCCGGTATCATGACATATTTGATATCTCTGTATGTGCTTTAGATATGTACCTACCGCCTTATAGGAGTAAGAAAATTCTATAGACATTATGAGCCATGTTTGTTTTACGGTCTGGGGGCTCAGAAAAGTCCCTGACATTTAGTCTGAGTTGAACCGGGACAACGAGTTCTAGCTCCCCTGAGTGGCGGAGGCAGGCTGAGCTAAGCAGAGCCTGTGACACAAGTAAAGCTAAGGAAGGAAGAAACTGTCTTGGCTCAGAAGGGACCGAGCTTGGGCAACTGGGATTGCAGGGTAGTGCTTATACACACACTTGTACATTATATCCAGAAGATCTGCCGTGATTGACTATCTAAGCTGGATAAAGCTGGAATCCTTTATTCTGTGGATCTGTAATTGTAATTGTCTAATCTGTCATTGCACAAATGTGATTTTTCACCCCATAAAAATCACATGCCATAAATTTAAGCTGAGGTGTCATTGTGGGTACCTTTGTGAATGAAAAGGAGGGGAGGGTAAGGAGACCTGAGGAAGGAAGCTCTAAATCTCATCTTCTGTCTATAGCAGTTCATGTAGTCCTCTGACATTGGTTGAAAGCCTACCGTGCCCTCAGTGCTGGGGATGGAAGAACAGATAAAGGTACTCCCAGTGCTGAGAGAGAGACACACCACATCCCTGCCCTGCCCCCCGCCCCCCTGGCACAGTAGAATAGCAGATACGGGAGATCAGCACAATCCACCAGGCAAGCTAGTTGGGCTTGTTCTCCTTACAATTTTAAAGTGCCTCATTTCCAAGTTTGAGTTGGTGTAATAAAAATTACATTATGTTACAGTAATTGTGTTTGAACTACATTACAGTGAGTGCCAGGAGAAGGCCTTACCTACCTTCCTGTATGATATTTCAGAAATAGATTTCAAAGCCACTTGTTACCTTGGGGAAAACTGTATTTCCAAAATACCTGCAATGATTGACTCAAGTCAGTGAATCTGTAATTTACTAGAAGCTGAATTTCCAAAAGTCCTATTTTAAATGTTAGAAGTGTTGTTGAAAAAACTGGTACTTCTAACCAGAGAAGAGTGTAATGATGCCTTGGATACTTGTCAGAAAGAAAGCAAAAACGGACTTCAAGCTTAAACTCTCTTTGATTTCCCCCCCACTGACCAAATTTGGCCCCACTCTTGGCTTTAATATGAACACAAGATCATGTGAGCCCAATTTGTGTCGTCAAGGGCTGTCTGCATCTCTCCATTTGTTTCTGAGGTTGCCACCAATGGCCTCAGGGGGCCTGGTTTGGACTGCCACCTTTTGCTCCAAATCCCAGTCCTGGCTTAATTCCCAGTCTTCTGAGGGCCAGCTCCCCACCGTGCTTCTCCTCCCCATGGGTGCAGCCTGACATGCCACCAGCCCTCAGGACTTTGTCCTGGCAGGTCTGCTCTCCTGGCTTGGCACTAACAGAGGGAAATCACTGCGAGAACTGGAAGCAATGGAGAGGTTGCTGTCACTCCAATTCTGAAGTTCCTTGGCCATCCCTGCCACAGGGGAGTGTACTACCTGTTGGTTCAGAGCCATTCAGTTTCTCCCTGCAGAATCTCTTTTCCCACTTCTCCGTGTTCCGTACATCCAGAAGCTTCCGGAACATGGCCTACCAATGGTACTTTCTTAATCAAAAAGTCTCAGAAAAAGTATTTCCCTAACCCGAAAGTGCTCACCTTTCCTAACCCTGGTCATTCACACTGAGCCGCATAAAAAGCCGGCAGAAGTTTGAAGTTGTAAATTTTAAGGGGGCTCACCATTCAAGGTGTCCTGGATCAGGCATACAAGGCTTCCGAGTCCCTGTGCTTTCTTCCCTGTTTGGGAGTGGCCAGGCAGGGGTCAGCCCAGGTTTTGTGCTCCCCTGTACTGTGAGCAGTTCCTGGGTATGGCTTCTCTATCAGTAGGCCTCTTTTCATGTGCTGTGGGGGCTTATATTAACCTGAGCCACAAGAATAGTTTGAGTAAAACATGTCAGAAGAATTGGATGAACCAAGGACGTAGGGCTGTAAAATGGCTATTTCTGGGTGTTTCTGGGAGGGGCGCAGAAGTGTCTGTGGGGTCCCATGACCAGGACTGTGCCAGGTAATGGGATGAGCACAGCAACACCTCCCAGGGCATCAGTTTCCCAGCAAGTTTGGAAGTGTTTGTTTATTTTTTTTTTAAGATTTTTTATTTATTTATTTGGCAGAGAGAGAGAGACAGCAAGAGAGGGAACACAAGCAGGGGGAAGTGGGAGAGGGAGAAGCAGACTCCCTGCTGAGCAGAGAGTCTGATGTGGGACTCCGATGCAATCCCAGGACTCTGGGATCATGACCTGAGCTGAAGGCAGATGCTTAACGACTGAGCCATCCAGGTGCCCCAAGTTTGGAAATGTTTAAATGTCAAAACCAGTCAGCATAGGAGGAGAATAAAAAATTACAATAATTTTCAGGTAAAATGTTATAATAGGAGAAACTTCACTGCAGGGTGCTCTCCCACATGTCTCCAAGGTTCAGGTGACTTTCTTCCAGTTAAAGCAACTGTTTGAGAAACACTGTACTTAAGAAGGTACAATCATACAAAAATGTATGACATTTTAAAAGGGTGTTCTGTTATGGCACTTGTGAACTCCTGATTTTGCGGATAGTTCTTATTTTATGTAATATATGTGTCATGAAACTTGTGTTTTGAGTTGAGATATTTGTAAATTGGATACTTTTAAGTGCAATAGATACTTTTTAAGGAAACTGAAATTAGTTTATAAATAATCACCCCGATTGTTAGTTTTATAAGTTTGAGTTTAATAAAATTATTTTTCCTAAAGTGGGTGTTTTCGCTTAACTATAATATAAAAATACCATTAAATTTATCTAACTCAGACCAATGAAAATTTAAGACTATTTTTGTTAGTGGAGTTTTTTGTTAGTCTAAGAAGCCTTTTGTAGATTTCTGGTCATATTAAATATTTAAATTATTTCTAATACTTGTATTGTCTTAATGAAGCACATAGAACAAAACAGTTCAGTCGCAAAGTTCCTCAGGGCAGATGATTAAATAACCATGAGAGTAACCAGGCTAACTTCAAAGTTGATTTGGAATGTTGTACTACTTCTTGCTCTAAGCAATTATACTAGTCAAATATAAATGTTCAGAGTACATTTTCATTAACATGCTTTATATGTCCAGCTACTTCCAAACGCTTTCTTGGTCCTCATACAGTGTCATTATTCAATAAATGTTTAATAGAAAGGCTCATTAAAATTTTATTTATTATACTTAATGTAAAAGAGTAGAAATGAAGATAAATTGGGTTGAAGTGGAATGGATAAAATGTAATTGAAATAATTTGGAGTACGATTTAAATAAACTTCGTTAATTTGGAAGTCTTAAAAGTGTGTGACCACAGCTTAAGATGCATTCAAATATATCATTATGAAGAAAATAAGAATATTGTATTACTGGTTTGTAGGTTCTTTAAGAAAGGCTATTAGCTTTAGTCTAAAAATAGAAAAGATAAAATTAACTTAGCTTTCTTTTTTATTAACTTAGTAAATGGGTTAAGCAACTACTTATACTCTGTTATACAGCTTATGTAAATGTTGTATGATCACTGGCTAGAATAATGTATAGATATCCTTACATTGTAAGGATAATGAATAGATATCCTTACATTGTAAGGATAAAAAAATATAAGAACACTTAGATTTTTTTCAATGACTTTTTTTAACCAGATTATAATCTCTATTGCATGGGGAAAATATAACAAAATGTCATTGACTTAACTGCTGTAGTGTTGAAAAAAAATTTAAAATTTTTAAATAAACCCTATTAATCTAAAAACTCAATCACTGAGTTCAGGTAATATGGAGAAAGTGTATGTTTTTTCAGAAATATTAAGTTAAATCTTGCAAACTAGTAAATTAACTTTGATTTGGCTTAAATATTGTTCATACTAAGAGGGTTGGGTAAAGCCACAGTTGTGACTGTTAACTTCTCTGTAATTCAGGGCACACCACAGGGACAGATTCTGACTTTCTTTTTTTTAAGATTTTATTTATTTAGAGAAAGAGGGTGAGCAGGGGAGGGGTGGAAGGAGAGGAAGAGAGAGAATCCTCAAGCAGACTCCCCGCTGACCGCAGAGCCCAAGATGTGGGGCTCGATCTCATGACCCTGAGATCATGACCTGAGCTGCAATCAGGAGTCAACCACTTAACCGACTGAGCCACCTAGGTACCCCAGGGACAGGCTATCACTTTTTTAAAAAAAGGAAAACTGTTGGCTTATATTGGTTTTGCTGGCAGAGTGATATTTGTTAACTACAAGAACTGTGATTAAGTTGTTGAAATGAGATTTTACTGAATTTTTATATATGTTTATTTCATTATTAGGCTATCAGCTGCAAAGGTCAACACAGTATATCGTACACTCTGTCAAGGAATCAGACTGTGGTGGTGGAGTACACACATGATAAAGATACGGATATGTTTCAGGTAACATCTTTATTTTTATTTTGGATGCAGTGTCATTAACGTGACATCAGTTTCAGGTGTCTAATGTAATGATTCCATACTTGTGCATATTACAAAGTAATCACCACAGAAGGCCTTTTAACAGTTGCTACCACACAGAGTTACAAAGCTTTTTTCTTGGGATGAGAACTTTTAAGATCTACACTCCTAGCTACTTTCACGGACACAGTGTAGTAGTATTTACTATAGGCACCATGCTGTATGTGACATCCCTGGGACACACCTTTCTTTTCTTCATGGAAATTTTAGCACACTCTCCTTCAGTTCTGCGTTTCGATATGTAATCAGAACTAGCCCAGTAGTGTTTGGTGATATACTCAGAGAAAGAAGTGAGGATAATATAAAAATGAATTCCTGTTTGGGTTCTGAAAGACTAAGGGGGAATCCTTCATTCTAAACTGCAGACAGAAATTATAAAAGCTACATTCTTAGATCTCAATGCAATAAAAATACATATTAATAACAATAATAAAAATTTTAAAAACCAACCACTTTGAAAAGCCATGTTTGAACACTTGAATCAGAAAGGACGTTGATACTGCATTATTAGGCCTTTTAAAAAAATTACTATGAGAACATTATGTAGCAAAACTTCTGAGATGTGATTGACCTCATACTCAGAAGAAAATGTAAAAAAAAAAAATCTAAAGTGCTTTCATTATACAAGGAAGGAGGGAACAAGGAACTAAACATTGGTCTCCAAGAGTTCTCTTTAAAAAATGACAGTACAAAAATACGGAACAGGTTCGTGACTAGCTTTATAATAGAAAGTCCAGAAATACATCAAAAGAAAGCAGAAGGAAGGAAATAATAACGGGAAAAAAATTCATCAATTTAAGAAGAAAATTAATAATATATCTAAGATTTGGTACTTTAAAACAATAGAAAATTAAAATTAAGGCTAATGAAAAAAGCAAACTCAAATTGGGAACCATGAGACTTTGCATTTCTATATGGAACGTTAAATTATTAAATAAGTGATACTGAAACGTGTCAAAACAGTATCCTAGATATTATCAAAAAGGGGAAATAAGGAGCTCTGAAAAATAAGAAAATATGCTCAACCTGACTTAAAAAAAAAAGAAATATGAATTCAAATCACATAGAGATCTTACTTTTCACTTATTAGATTGACAAAAATCCGAACAGTTTTGTCAGAGATGTGGGGAAACCCTCTCCTAGTCCTATAAATTGGTATGACCTCTGTAGGGCAGTGACTTGGAAGTGCTTGTGAAAAATGAAAAATGCTTACACTCTTCGACTCAGCTCTTCTCTTTCTAAAGCTCTTGTTTCTAGAGATTTACCCCAGAGACACCCCTACATTCATGCAGAATGACATTTTTACCAATTCATTGCTCAAAGCATGGTTTAATAGCAAAAGATTGCTAAGTGAATTTAAATTTAAAAAAATAATAATAGCAAAAGATTGCGAACTATGTAAATGTCATTCAGTAGGGGACCCTTTCAGTAAATTCAGGTACAGCCATATGGTGGAGGGAGGCCTCCAAGGCTATGAAACAGAACAAGAGAAAGCTCTATGTATGGACATGGGAAGAGCTCCAAATATATTTAATGAATTAATATTATTATATTGAGCCATTGGTAATATATTCGATTAAGATTACTTAATCTTCAATGTTATTAAATATATTAAATATTAAATAGTATATTATTATTAAATATTAGCATAGTTAAATGATTTAAATAATGCTAACATGCACTAAAAAGCTCCAAGAGGATAAATAAGACATTATTATTAAAGCAGTTGCCTTTGTGGAGAAGAGGATTGGGCAGGTGGTACACTGGAGGTATTTCACACTATGATTTTTTTCTTAAGATTTTATTTATTTGAGAGAGGAAGAGAGCACAGAGGGAGAGGGAGAGGGAGAAGCAGGCTCCCTGCCAAGCAAGGAGCCCAATGTGGGGCTCGATCCCAGGACCCCGAGATCAGGACCTGAGCCGAAGGCAGACAGTTAACTGACTGAGCCACCCAGGCGCCCCTCACACTATGATTTTTGAAACATGTGAATGTGTTAGCTATTTTTAAAAAAAACTAAACAGGGGCTGAGCAGGGAGCCCGCTTCTCCCTCTCCCTCTGGCCCTCTCCCATGTGTGCACTGTCTCTCAAATAAATAAATAAAATCTTTTTTAAAAATTTAAAAAATAAACAGCCCTAGAGTCATAGTCATAGATGTAGACACAATTATTTAAGTGCCTCAAAAGTAGGATTTATCATATTTAGACAAAATATTAACAATGGTTTTACTCCTCATACAATTCCATTTTATAATATTCTAAGTATTTTTTCTTCTCATTCTACCAGAGAAAATCCTTTCCTAAATACATATATGCATACACTTCCCTGCTGATAATTTTATGGGACTTCATAATAATTTTTTAATAACTTTCCAAAATTATAAATCTTCTACTGACAAGATTTTTTTTTTACATAGAAAGTTTTTTTACACACGTTTTACCCTAGAGAACAGCAGATTCTCAGCACCAAAAACACATCAAGAAAATTTTTACAATTGTGGTGGTACATTTTTTACCACTTTAAAATCAACCTGACACTGCAGAGGCACCTGTAATTTCATCACTGTTCTGTAGTGACATGTTGTGACAGAGATCGCATACTCTTCACTGTCGTGCACATTCCACTCCCATGGCTCACTTTCTTCCTTCTCATCTCTGCAAGTGCAGAGTGAGTGAAAGATTCATGAGACTCTTAACACGAGATCCATCCTCTTGACAAATGCACAATGCAGTATTTTTACCATAGGCACAGCATTAGACAGCACATCTCTTCTGGAACTTCTCCATCTTGGGGCACTGAAACTTTGGAGCTGTTGAACAATGATTCCCACTTCCCTTCACCACCAGCCTCTGGCAACCACCATGCTACAGTCCCTATTTGACTGTTTTAGGTACCTCACATAACTGGAATCCTGCAGTATTTGTAATGTCCCCTAGGTTCATCCATGTTGTTGCATGTGGCAGGATTTCCTTGTTTTGAAGGCTGAAAAATATCCCACTGGATGTTTTTACCACATTTTTTTTTTTATCCATTCACCCACTGGTGGACATTCAGGTTGTTTCTGTATCTCGGCTGTTGTAAATAATGCTACCATGAACATGGGGAGCAGATCTCTCTTTGAGATCCTGATTTCAGGGGTTTTTGGGGTTTTTTGTTGTTGTTAAATACCCAGAAACAGGATTGCTGAATCACATGGTAGTTTGATTTTTAATATGTTAAGGAACCTTCATACTGTTACAAACTTCTAAATGCTTTTTTTCATACTTCCCATTTCATCATACAGAATATTTGAAAGGCTCAGTATTTAATAAAAGTAATTTTTTGCGACTTCATCAAAAGCATACTTAAGTGAAACCGGCATTATTTTTAACTGCAAGTGCATGGCCACGAAGAATACAGTGGCCATTAATACAGTTTGGCGCCACTGATTTGATTTCCGCGAAAGCACATGATTGCCATAGCACCATTAGAATAAACATTAGCACAGTGGAAAAGGCAAATGGCGTGTTTGTATTATTATGAAGGCAATTTTGTCTTCATGGACCTGGTCCTTAGAAAAGGTCTTGGGGACCCTCAGAGGTTCATAGACCACACTAAGAAATACCGAATTATACTATACTAACCTCTTACATTTCATAGCTGAGAAATCTGGGTCTTCGAAAGGAACGGTGACTAGCTACTAAGGGCAGAGAAGGCGTTAGTGGTAGAAGTCAGTTTTATGTCTCCTGAGTTCTACACTCCTACGTAATACCACCTCGACCTCTTTATATGAAGCATGGTAATTCAACAAGCATTTATAGATTTACTAAGAAAACAACACATTTGTCATTTTTACTAAAATAATCTGATTCCACTTGCAAAATAACTAGACATATTGGAGGATTAATATCAGATCACTCTAAGCAGAGTAGAATTAAGCAAACTCTTAGAACGCCCTGAAAAACAAGCTTGTTTTAATTTTTTTTCTTCCTCTTACACGTTTTTATGTCCCCAGCCCATCACTGATAAAGGTTACTGAGCAAAAAGCACTGTACCATTCCTATTTCTCAAGCATGGACCTTGGTGTTGAGGTCTGTTCATTGTAGCCATTATTCTTTAAAATGATTTCTAGGTTAAATGAGCATTTAAAAGCAGAACATCAGACGGAGCCAAAGAAGGGCCTTGTGCTGCCTTTCCCTGGGAAACAGGTAGTAGCTCAGAACTCAGAAATATTATTGCCTAGGAAAAAAGTATCAATTCGATCTGAATTTAAGAGGTGGGTTAAGAGAGAGAAAGTCTGAGTTAGTATAGCAACAATTTCATAGTAGTTATTTTCTAGAATAGGTGTAAATAAAGGACAAAAAAAGTGTAGCTTTTGAGAAAGTAAAATATAAAGAATCATTTATCACAGGAAGTGACAAAATGTTTTACAAGAACCCTAAAGGGAGGTGTGATGCCAAATGCATCCTGATCCTTGGGGTAAGGAAACCAGAAGCTTCAAACATTGCTCAGTTTCATGATCTTCGATCCTGGGTGCTGCTGGACCTTCTGGTTTGGGTTTTTGTTTGGTTGGTTTTTAATGTAGTTGGTTTATACTACTTTTAGATAGTAACATTTTATTAGCACCCACCTAGGTGAGAAAAATATTAAAGAGTATCTACTTTTTAAACAGCTACTTCTTTTTGTTTTTACATTTTTATTTTTTTTCTTTAAATTTTTTATTGTTATGTTAATCACCACACATTACATCATTAGTTTTTGATGAAGTGTTCCATGATTCATTGTTTCTGCATAACACCCAGTGCTCCACGCAGAACGTGCCCTCTTTAATACCCACAGTAGGCTAACCCATCCCCCCACCCCCCTCCCCTCTAGAACACTCAGTTTGTTTTTCAGAGTCCATCCTCTCTCATGGTTTGTCTCCCCCTCCGATTTACTCCCCTTC